ATGCTCCATTCTTTAAATATGATTTCTTGGTTTTAGAGGACCTTATGTTTAGCTCAGTCTCTTCATTCTATCTGTGAATATTTTTGTGACATTGATTTAAAGCTCACTTTAAGAATAGGGTGAAAAATGCATTTATACACACCCTGAGAAACTAAATACAGTGAAGGCTGCAAACTGATTGATGGAATCATGTTATCAAACATGTCTGGGTATATGAAAGCTATTTATCAGTTCTTACTAAACATTCAGTCAGGAAAGCTCCGACTCTTCAAAAGATGCACACAGCAGCCTCAGTACAGAAGATACAGCAAAGTTCCTCACTATCTGAGACACTGTATTTGCGGGGAGGTGATTGTTTCAAGGCTTGCCAAATTCTGTATTTCACTGCCCACTTTATAAAGAATTACGAACCAAGTACTTGGCCAACTTGCTCTTTGAAAAAGGCCCACTGGCCTACTCTGCAAAAGAAATGAACTTTGCAAGTCAATAGCAAGGGCAACATTATGGAAAAAGGTAGCCTTCTCTACATTCACAGCTGCATGTGGGGCAAAGTTTTTTCAGGGGATAGTTTATGGGGGGTAACTGCTTTTAACATGACTGGCTTTTTACTTTCCCTCACCATTGTACTGCAGATCTATGCCATTCTTACTATGATTTAAACAAGTAAATGCATTTCTGTTTAGATGCTAGACTAGGAAGCCTGCCTCCTCTTGGACATACAGAAGGAGGGTCAGTAAGAAAAATATTGGCCACCATGCTAACACAGGAGGCAACAAGTATCATGGAGCTGAGCAAAAAGTCCGGGAACTGGCAAACCAATACACCTAAACGGCTGGAAACCTAAAGCATTTTAGAGGCACTCTACCTTCTTTTGCACTATCTGCCAGCCTTCTCCAACTTCCATGTATCAGGCTACAACTCCCAGAATCCCTGATAACTGGCCTTGCTGGTTAGGAACGATGGTAGTTGTAGTCTAACACTTCTGGAGCACGCAAGGTTGGGGTGGACAGTTCCCTCATAGCATCCTCCTGCCAAGATCAATCAAGAGTGTCCTTTTGATATTACCATCCATGCACCGTGTCTTAACAGCAACAGCAACTAAAGTACTCTCACTGGCTGCCCAACAACAGCAGAGCTCTTTTCCCTGGAGATTTATCATGGTCCAAGTCCAAGCATTTTAATTTCTACCAATGCTCTTTATGCCTGTAAGTGCCAGAGCTGAAAGGGTCACATGGGCAGAATGTGTGTGTCCCCCCAGTTCTTCCTCATGCTAGATTCACTGCCTGCCCCTATGCATGTGGATCTTGAAATAAGCCATGCCAAGTTCAGTGGGACTTACACCCAAGCGTGTATCAGACTGCAGCTATGCAGTCTGATTCTACAAGGACCTGTGCACGGATTTCAATGAATTTAGAACACCTAACTTTGCACAGGAGCTCAGGATTGTGAGGACAGAAATTGCAGCACAGAGATCTGTGGCAGGCTCATGGGATGAAGCATCAGAGAGGATGGCAAGAGGGACAGGCAAGCAGGTGTGGGGCAATTAACCAGAGGTGAGATACCGATTTCTAGGGCAAAGCCTGGCACATGCCCCACTGGCAGACTGCCAGCCAAACAGCCTCCTTGGAGGCTGAATAGGGTGCCCGAGGTGGGGAAAAGAAAGCGAAAATGAGCAGAAGCCATCCTCACTCCAGAAGGAAAGAGCAACGGATGAGGGAGCAAAAGGGACCGAGCAGGGTGGAGCAGGGTGGGCAGAGGGGTGTCCTTACGTTCTCTTGAAAATGCCTCCCAAGCAGCTGCCGATCAGAAGGCAGAACTGTTGCGAGAAGAAGACCCAGGTGATCTGCGAGAGCGAGCTCTGGGTCTGGCAGCGCAGGTCCAGCAGGGTGGGCCCCAGGAAGGCGATGCACAGGCCGAAGCTGAAGAAGACGCTCCAGTAGGTGAGCGTGGGCTGCAGGTTTCGCTTGAAGAGCGTCGTCACCCTCGCATCCCACCACAACATCCTCGCCTCCCGCGCGGAAGAAGCGGCCGCTGCCGATCCCGAGCCAGTCCCAGCGGGTGCGGGAGGAGGAGAGGGCAGCCGAGTGGCGCCCCCTAGGTACGCTCACTCCGGCTCCGAACCTCTTCTTCACTCGGATCCGTGCCAGGCAGCTCCTGCTGCTGCGCCGCTGCCGCCCGGCAGACGTGCAACCCGGATCTCCGCTTCTCCAAGCGCAGGCGGCAGGGACTGCTCCTCGCTCTCCCTCCGCTCCTCTACCGTGCAGAGTGCGAGCTGGAATCCCGCTCGAAAACACCTGCAACCCGGATCCTCCCCAGCCTCTCCACCCCGTGCAATCCTCTCCTCCCGCCCACGATCACATGGACGCCTCCTCCCCCCCCTCCCCACGCCCGCGTGTGCCCCTCGCGTTCCCTCCCGCGTCCCGGATCCTGCTCAGCCCGCGCCTCCCTCCAAGGACGATCGAGGAGCAGCCCTGCCCGGGTGGCCCCGCCGTCGCACTCCGGGGGCTTGCAGCAGCAGGACGACGTGTAAGGCGCGAGGGGAGCGGACTGGGCGGCAGCGCTGGGCTGGGACTAGCTCCGCCCCCTCGGCCCGGGGAGCCGCGCACAAGCGCCGGCCGCCTCCTTTCGCCGGTTCCCGGGGCAGCCGTGCGGGAGATGCGACGCTGTCCCCAGAAGGCGATGGAGCCGCGGTGGCTTGATGGCTGCGTTGGGAGGAGGCCTCCGCTGCGCCCAGGGCGCGCTCGCCTTCTCCAGGATTCGCCCTGCTGCGCGCTGCAGCTCCGCTCGATCCTCACAGCCCAGCGCGGCTGACTCGGCTCACCGCCTGCCTTCGCGTAAGGGGTCGCGGGCGAGCTTCCCCAGCACCCCTGCAACGGGGTCTGCCCGAGAGTGCTAAGAATCGCGGGCTATTTCAGTTGGGACGGTTTTTCCTACACGGAAGGACAGCACCTCGCTGGGGGAAAGCCGTGTCGAGATTACCAAGTGGGCCGGACGCACACGCGTTTTTTCGCGGACGCGTGTGCACGGTACACTTGCTAGAGAAGGCCATTCGCTGCTGCCTGCGTCTAGAGAGCATGAGTCAAAAAGACCTGCAGTCAGTACACGTGACGAGACTCACTTATTTTCCTACACGGAAGGACTTTCGTAACGTCCGAAAAGCCTTTTTCGGTGCGGACTGTTTTCTCTTACCCCACCCCCCGCCTCCACCCGCTTGAGAATCCGGTCAGGTCAGGTGCAGTTGCTATAATCATGCCGTTTGTTGAAGTCAAAGCTACTGCCGGCATTCCATACAACAATGGGAAAAGTCATGGAGATGAACACACTGCAAAACTGGGCACAGGGATAACTTCAGTGAGATTAACCTTGAAAGTAGAAGCCCCAGGGAGATTTTCATTAGACCCTTTCAGAAAGAAATGTGAAACTTCCCTATTGCTCATGCAAGATGCAGAGGATGCTATTTGCATAATAAAAGTATGTTAATTGTGCTTGCACAATCAGCATTGGGCTAGAATGGCCCTAAGTCTCTACAAGATACAAATGTAGTCAAAGACTCATCTTTTAGCTCAGTGCAAGCCTTTTTTTTATTTATTTTATTTCAGTATTCTTTGACTTCCCTTTTTAACATAGTCAGTTTTTAAGAACAACCTTGTGGTGGTTTTGAAGCTCCCCGCCCCACTGCACACCTTGCTAGGTGTGGATGGCAAGGAAGCCATGCATTGTCAAGGCAATCATGTTGTGTGCAACCAAACGATCGGGTGGCAAGGAAAGGAAGCCACTGTGACTTCTTTCCCCCAGTCATCACCCAAACACAGCCAGTGTTCCCATACTTACCAGTGAACAGTTGATGCTGAAGTTGGCGACATGCCCTTCCAAGCACTGTATCCTGTTCAGCAGAAGCTCTAATATAGGAAGAAAATCATTGGATTAAGGGGTTGGATGGGGATTGACTAAAATTCATGACTCCAGGTGTAGCCAGATCCAGTGCTATCCTGATCTGTGGGAAATGTGTACTAATAGTGAAGTGTCCTTGAAGAGGTGCAAAATGCTGTTAGCTAACCAGTGGTGTAGCAGTAATGTCGGAAGTGCAGGAGCTCAGCTTGATGCTTCCAAAAGCCATGCTTCCATCTCTCTCTTCCTGTATTGTATATGTATTTGGAGAGGCTAATGGGACTTAGCTGATTATTCAAAACAAATTCATCCCAACATTACAATAGGGGTAGCTTGCAACAATATTTTTCTGCTGGGAAAATCCATTCCCACCTGCGACCCACGACTGCTCTGAGGAAAGCATCTAAACTCAGAGGGAACATGGAAGTTGTGGTGGGGCCTTGGCAGATGAGGTCATCATGTCTGCTAATCCAAAAGTTCCAGAGTCCTTGTGGGTCCTGGCACCACTATGCCACTGTAGCTAACCACACAGTGTGACTGAAAATGGCCACAGAGAGGCACAAATGAGTCTGGGCTTCTGGGAACTGTGCAAAGGGGCAGTTCACACCTCTCTTTTCATGTTAAGTGCTATTTCATACATCTGGAACAGCATAAAGAGGATGCACTAGTGATTTGTATGTCTTCTGTCACTATTTCCTAGGGTTATACAAAGAAGATGTCACTAGCATGGGATGACCCAAGATTTTTCGGTACCACCTGTATGGTATCTAATGGGCACCTTCTCCTTAATACATATTAAATGGTTACATTCAGTGGCTGATGATGGAGTCTAAAATCTGCACGGAGCCCAAGGCAACCATTTCAGTCTGTCCAAAGATAGCTGTGATCAGCTCTCCTACAGCTTGTTTGGGGTGCGGGCAGACAGCTCGGACCATGTGCTTTCTTGCAGACAAATCTGGGCTTCAAAATCTCAAGGAATCCAGCTCAGCTGGACTCCCTTGAAATGGTAATAAGAAAAATGTGCCTTTCAGAATGTACTGCGAAATGCACAATATATGCACATGAGGTGGGAAACATTAGAATTCTAATAACAAACACACTGGCAAAATAGGCAGAAAATATTTTTCCCTTTTCTAGGTTCTCTGACTTAAAAAAAAATGAATCTATGCAGTGGCAGCGAAATCTGTGGCAGGCTAAGGCTGTATTGGAATAGTTGATGTTTTGCTTACGCAGAAAACTCCCTCTGGAGGAGGATGAGTTTATAAATATTTCACCTGCTGCATTTGAGACGCTAACTGGCAATTTTTAGAATGCTCTTGCTTGCTTGCTTCCTCCCTCCCGTTCTCTTTTCTAGGCAGAGCAAAACATACAGGCTTGCTGGGCTGATTCAAGCAAAAGCTGGAGTGCCGAGTGTTGTTTCTTCTCTCTGCCTGCTCCTGTGGATGCATGCCGACCTCTGGAATGTTTTCATGGAGGGGCTAGAGGTGCCAATTGATGTGACAGAATTATTATTTAAAAAGAGTCTGACTCCTTGAAGCAGCACCTGATCTCTGAGCCATCTGTTCCTTTGTTGGGCTTTCAGGCACCTCTGGGGTGACCCGAGGGAGGCAGTTCTGCTGTTTCAGGAAGCACACAGAATGAGTGCACACAGAATGAGCATACACTTTCATTCCAGAATCCAGAGTAAATAATGTGGAATAAACTCTAGAGCCATCACTTTCTTGGATGAGCATCCCTTCTCCACATTGCTTGGGAGCTTGTTGCCAGTCTTTTAAAGCAGATCAGCTCACCTTGCATATGTTAAGCATCCCATCACCATAATAATAATAATAAAGACACAATCCTATGCATGTTTAGACAGGAAAAAAGTCCTACAGCTTCCAGTATTCCTCAGCCAACACTTCTGACTAAGGGAATGCTGGGAGTTTTAGGATGTCTTCTGTCTAAACATGCACAGAATTGCTCCCTAATCCTATAATGCTGTTCTGGAAATAATTCCCATTACAGTCAGTGGGGTTCTGAGTAGGGTTCCTTCTGAGTAGGGTTGCACTGTAGAATCTTGGCTTTAATTACACCAAAGGTTATAAGAGAACCTGTTACACTTGATTCATAGAATGTCATAATGCTCTGATCTGTGCTGAAAAGCATGCTTATAATCACCATTTACTGTTAGAGTTCAGTTTTACTGAAGTTATTCAGAAATACTCTCACAATAAATACATGTGAACCATAGTGCAACCTCACAACTCTGCAGATGAGTGATGAAAGTCCATGGTTTCTCTATAATTAACGGGACTGTGTGGATTCCCCCGCTCCCCACTGTATTCCTACTATGCATGCCTACGCAGAAGTAAGTGCCATGGGAGTTACTCCCAAGTAATAGCCACCAGAAGAATATAGGATATATTGCTAATGCAGAACATTCCCTAGACACTGACATTGCAAATGTAGAATGATCCCTAACATTTTGCTATTCTCAATCAGAAGGCATAGGATGAAAAAAGGCAACAGCCTTTACTCTTTCAAGGTGTAATATTTATCACCCTCATCAATATTCTTATGTGTATATCCCACTTTTTTTCTCTTTACATGACACTCCTCCTCTCCATTTTATCCTCCCAACAACTGTGTAAGGTAGCTTAGGCTGAGAGTCCATGAGCCTTATAGAAATTAGGTCACTCAAGCAGCTTCATGGTGAGTAGGGCCAAGAACCTGGATCTCCTGAACCAGCACTCTAAGCACGATGCCACACTGCTGTGATCTTGGCTGGCCAGATCTTGGAGCTAGATCTCTGTGTTCAGTTTCTCCAGGGCTTATGTGCATGACATCTTCAAATTATGGGAGAGAGCTAAAACCAGCAATATGTAACATACCCCTGCAACAAAAGTTAGTGAAACTAACCCAAAGCCCTGCGCTGTGTGTGGGCAGAAATGCGACTGCAGGTGAGGCTGAGTAGAGAGGAGAGGAAGGGCATAATCCTATGCCTGGTTGGGCAGAAAAGATAACCCTTTAAACCTTGTAAAATTAGAGCTTCTGCTAATGTGCCTTATAGAAATTAAATTAGTAACAGTAGATATGACGATGACGACAATGATGATTGATGCTGGTTGGGGC